GTGCAGTTGGTGGAGTCTGGAGGGGATGTGAGAAGACCTGGAGGGTCCCTCCGTCTCTCCTGCCAAGCCTCTGGATTCCCCTTCTTCATCTATGGAATGCACTGGGCCAGACAGGCACCAGGGAAAGGACTGGAATGGGTGGCCTACATAACTCCAAGCTCATCTGGTACTTACTATTCAAACAAAGTGAAGGGACGCTTCACCATCTCCAGGGATGATGCCCAAAGCCAGCTGTATCTGCAAATGAGCAGCCTCAAAGCTGAAGACACGGCAGTCTATTACTGTGCGAGAGACACAGTGAGAGGAAGTGAATCTGAAGCCAGGCAAGAACCTTCCTTTCTTCAGAGCAGCTCTTCAATTTGACTAGATTAGTCAGTGAGGATTGATCTCTGTCTAGAGAGAACTTCAGATATAGCTACCCATTAGCACCATTAGCTACCCATTAACATCCAAAGGAAACATTTAGACATCAGAATTAGTCCAAACCCTGTAATAAGTGGGCAATCTCCTTTGGAAAAAGAAATTTTACAATTAAATATTACAAAGGAAACCCAGACCCATAAACCTGCCAGCACAGATGTAGATGCACCCAGGAAGGATGGGGGACACCTCAGGAAAAGAACCATTTAAGGGATAAGCCAAACCAAACTTTAAAGTCGAAAAAAAAGGTTTTTTTTATCCCCGTCTCTCATTCTTCCTTCCCCGCCCTGAGCAATTCTGGGCAAACTACAAACTAAAAGAAACAAGTGTCTTAGAAAACAAACCCATCAACCTCACTAGGTAGAACTTTTGTAACACTAACAAGACAGACATAAACCATGCAGAGAAACACATTTACATGAACAAAAAAATACTTCCCAAGGACAATATTAATCACTACCGGTCCAAACAGACACAAACTAGATGGAATTAAGTGAACTTTTTTTTTTTCCAAAAGCCAAATCATAATCTCAATAACTTGAAGGGTATAAGGACAGGACCCCTCACCTTGGGAAACTACTAGCTAGTCCAGAAACTATCCCTGTACCATTACTCCATCTAGTTTCTGTAAATAAACCTACTTTCTGGCAGCTTTTTTTATTCTGCGTCATTTCTTCTGCCTGAGCTGAATGTCTGCTTCCCAGCTGAAGACCCGAATTACAGGAAATCTTCCCACAATTCATAAAACAAATGTCATTAGATATTATCTCATTCTGGAGGACTGATAATTTTTTTTTAAAAAAAACACAAATATATATAATGGTGGATTGTTGGTTTTGGTCACCAGAGAAACTGTCTAGGAATCACATTATCATATTTAGTGAACATATAAAACAGTTTTAGAGATCTGATATTTTTATTTTATTCTATTTCTGTAATAATTCCTTGAAACATGCTCAAGAAAATTGTAGGAGTACTCAATGTGTACCTGAAAATATTTATTATTGCAGAAAAAAACTTATCTAGGTATTTCAAACCTTGGACAAATTAAAATTATCATATTTAGTTATCATATAAAACAGTTAAAAACTACAGATACTAATACATTTTGTGTATTTTTCAGGTTTTTCTTTTATTTAATACAAATAAATTTGCCCTTCCACCTGTTAAGTCACAGAAATATAAATGGCTCCCAATCCTTTTCTTAGGGGTGCAATGTTAATTACAAAATGCACATGCAAGTGATGTTCACAGAAGTGTGTTTGTCAAGGGCTCTTTTATCCCAACAGATATGTAAATCGAGGCACCATTTCCCCTTTAAAGGAGCCCCATGGTTTCCCTCTTCAGACAACACCCAGGAACACAAACCTTGTGCTATTTTCTCTCTTGGCCCTTGTCAATTCCCTCCATTCATTCAGTGAAAATGTGGCTCAACCTTGTGTCCTTACTAGTAGTCCTCAAAGGTAATTATTTCCCCCACATACAGTTTATTTTCATGTTCTGCTTCTCTAAGCAGGAGATCTCATTTAAAAATATATATATATTTTCTTTTTAGGAGTCCATTCTCAAATCCAATCTCAGTTGGTCGAGTCTGGAGGGGATGTGAGAAGACCTGGAGGGTCCCTCCGTCTCTCCTGCCAAGCCTCTGGATTTGATTTCAGCAGCTATGGCATGAGCTGGATGAGACAGTCTCCTGGGAAAGGACTGGAATGGGTCGCATACATAAGCAATGCTGCTGCTACTATTCGCTACTCAGACAAAGTGAAGGGCCACTTCACCATCTCCAGGGACAATGCCAAAAGCCAGCTGTATCTGCAAATGAACAGCCTCAAAGCTGAAGACACGTCAATCTATTACTGTACGAGACACACAGTGAGAGGAAGTAAATCTGGTGCTTAGCAAAAACCTTCTTTTCTTCAGAGCAGCTCTTCAACTTGACTAGATTAGTCAATGAGGATTGATCTCTGTCTAGAGAGAACTTCAGAATTTTTTATTCTGGCTATCAGAGAGTTTGCTGTAAGAAAATATAGGATGATGAAAATGGCTTGAAAATCTGTTTCATCTTCCCTGTTTACAAGGTGATTTATGTTCTGGAAAAAAGATGAAATGGAATATTGTTCTTTAATATCATGGCAGAAGCCTGGAAATGAAACCTAAGGGTGAACCTTTTAAATATCCAAACTGCCATTTCATATTGAGGAAACACCTAATTTTCCTTGGAAGAAATACTTCCCAAGGACAATGTTAATCACTACCGGTCCAAACAGACACAAACTAGATGGAATTAAATGAACATATTTTTTTTTTCAAAAGCCAAATCATAATCTCAATAACTTGAGGGGTATGAGGACAGGACCCCTCACCTTGGGAAACTATTAGCTAGTCCAGAAACCATCCCTGTACCATTACTCCATCTGATTTCTGTAAATAAATCTACTTTCTGTCAGCTTTTTTTATTCTGTATCATTTCTTCCGCCTGAGCTGAAGGTCTGCTTCCCAGCTGGAGACCCAAATCACGGGAAATCTTCCCACAATTCATAAAACAAATGTCATTAGATATTGTCTCATTCTGGAGGACTGATAATTATTATTCTTTAAAAAAAATTTGTATTAATTCACTGAAACGTTCTCAAGAAAATTTCACATCTCAGTGGGCTACAGTCTTCACAGTGAGCCTAATATATATATATATGTAGGTCTTTGGTTATTCGGGTTTTCTCCCACGTAAAATTGGAAGTTTTTGGTCGACGTTTCGACGAAGTCCAATTCGTCATCTGCAGGACCATCGAAACGTCGCCAAGACACTTCCAATTTTACGCGGGAGAAAATCCGAATAACCAAAGACCTACATACAAACACCCACAAAAATCTCAGAAAACAAATATATATATAATGGTGGATTGTTGATTTTGGTCACCAGAGAAGCTGTCTAGGTCTTTCAAATCTTTGTTGGAAATAAAAACAAAATGAAGGAATCATATTATCATATTTAGTGAACATATAAAACAGTTTTGGAGATCTGATATTTTTATTTTATTCTATTTCAGTAATAATTACTTCAAACATGCTCAAGAAAATTGTAGGAGTACTCAGTGTGTAAGTGAGAAATTTTATTAAAAGATTTTTCATTTAAGCCACCAGAAAAAAATTTACCTAGGTATTTCAAACCTTGGACTGGAAGTGGAAACAAAGTGAAAGGATCATATTATCATATTTAGTTATTATATAAAACAGTTAAAAAACTACAGATACTAATACATTTTGTGTATTTTTCAGGTTTTTCTTTTATTTAATACACAATAAATTTGTCCTTCCACTGTTAATTCACAGAAATATAAATGGCTCCCCATCCTTTTCTTAGTGGTGCAAAGGAAGAGCCGAGGTGGCGCAGCAGTTAGAGTACAGTACTGCAGGCCACTTTAGCTGACTGTGTTCAGCAGGTCAGCGGTTCAAATCTCACTGGCTCAAGGTTGACTCAGCCTTCCATCCTTCCGGGGTAGGTAAAATGAGGACCCAGATTGTTGGGGGCAATGTAAATATATATATATATATATATATATATATATATATATATATATATACATACATACATTGCTTACTGGTGTACACCGCTTAGAGAGTGCTTGCACTTAAAGCGGTATATAAGTCTAATAAATAAATAAATAAAGGAGATCCCATCTAAAATTTTAAGAAGAAGAAAGGAGTTTGCTTTTTTAGCAGATGAACTTAAAAAGAGACAAATTTTGTTTAGATGGGACGTCCCGACTGGAATGGTGGTGAGTTACTTGGGGACACGTTATAGTCTTAATACTGTTTCTAAAGCAAAAGACTTTTATACTTCGGTCCTGGTGATATGCTCATCGCTACCTACCACGTTTAAAGCTTTGGAAGATAAAAAGGCAGAATTGCAGTCTGAATTGCTTACATTTATGAAAATTGGGAAACTTCAGTTTGAGAGGCCTCAACAAGTAGATATGGAGGAGCAGAAGACAACCTGTGTAACATACAATTGTAAAGAAAAGGATCAACAGAAGAAGGTCAAGGAAGTTTCACAAGTATTGGTTCCTGAATTTGCGGGAGAAGCAGGGTTTATAAACTTTTTGGAGCAACCTTTAAGGGCAGAATTGCAGTGTGAAGAGGGAGTACTCAATGTGTAACTTAGAAATTTTATTAAAAGATTTTGCATTTAAGCCACCAGAAAAAACTTATCTAGGTATTTCAAACCTTGGACTGGAAGTGGAAACAAAGTGAAAGGGTCATATTATCATATTTAGTTATCATATAAAACAGTTAAAAAAACTACAGATACTAATACATTTTGTGTGTTTTTCAGGCTTTTCTTTTATTTAATACACAATAAATTTGCCCTTCCAACTGTTAATTCACATAAATATAAATGGCTCCCAATCCTTTTCTTAGGGGTGCAATGTTAATTACAAAATGCACATGCAAGTGACGTTCACAGAAGTGTGTTTGTCAAGGGCTCTTTTATCCCAACAGATATGTAAATCGAGGCACCATTTCCCCTTTAAAGGAGCCCCATGGTTTCCCTCTTCAGACAACACCCAGGAACACAAACCTTGTGCAATTTTCTCTCTTGTCTCTTGTCAATTCCCTCCATTCATTCAGTGAAAATGTGGCTCAACCTTGTGTCCTTACTAGTAGTCCTCAAAGGTAATTATTTCCCCCACATACAGTTTATTTCCACGTTCTGCTCCTCCAAGGAGGAGATCTCATTTAAAAATATATATATTTTCTTTTTAGGAGTCCAGTCTCAAGTCCAATCTCAGTTGGTGGAGTCTGGAGGGGATGTGAGAAGACCTGGAGGGTCCCTCCGTCTCTCCTGCCAAGTCTCTGGATTTGATTTCAGCAGCTATGGCATGAGCTGGGTGAGACAGGCTCCTGGAAAAGGCCTGGAATGGGTGGCATACATAAGCTCCGCTTCTGGTATTATTGACTACTCAGACAAAGTGAAGGGCCGCTTCACCGTCTCCAGGGACAATGCCAAAAGCCAGCTGTATCTGCAAATGAACAGCCTCAAAGCTGAAGACACGGCAATCTATTACTGTACGAGACACACAGTGAGAGGAAGTGAATCTGGAACTTGGAAAAAACCTTCTTTTCTTCAGAGCAGCTCTTCAATTTGACTAGATTAGTCATTGAGGATTGATCTCTGTCTAGAGAGAACTTCAGAATGTTTTATTCTGGGCATCAGAGAGTTTGCTGTAAGAAAATATAGGATGATGAAAATGGCTTGAAAGTCTGTTTCATCTTCCTGTTTACAAGGTGATTTATGTTCTGGAAAAAAAAACATGGAATGGAATATTGTTCTTTAATATCATGGCAGAAGCCTGGAAATGAAACCTCAGGGTGAACCTTATAAATATCCAAACTGCCATTCTCAAATTGAGGAAACACCTAATTCTCCTTGGAGAATTAGGAACATGCTCCCCCTCCTCATTAATGACACTAGGGGGCAATGTTGTAGCATAAAATCCCACTGTGGATGCATGTGGTGGGGTCACAGATAGCTACCCATGAGCACCCAAAAGAAATACTTGGGGCATCAGAATTAGTCCAAACCCTGAAACAATTTCCTTTGGAAAAAGAAATTTTACAATTAAATATTACAAAGGAAACCCAAACCCATAAACCTGGCATCACAGATGTAGATGAACCCAGGAAGGATGGGGGACACCTCAGGAAAAGAACCATTTAAGGGATAAGCCAAACCAAACTTTAAAGTCGAAAATAAAGGGTTGTTTTTCCCCTGTCTCTCATTCTTCCTTCCCCGCCCTGAGCAATTCTGGGCAAACTGCCAAACTAAAAGAAACACGTGTCTTAGAAAACAATTAAATCCATTGTTATGTCCTGAGCCTTGCAAGCAGGCTCGGGGCATTGCAGGCGGTCCCGGGCAGGTGCAAGCTTCCCGGGACCAGACAGGGTGTCGCCAGTACGTGTGCGCATGCGCGGGTGCTGGCGCGCCAAAAGTAGCAGATTGACTCAGGAAAGGCCTATAAAAGGAGGCCGAGAGAGTTGGGCATTGCCGCCATATTCCAATGTAAGCTGAACTGAAGAATAAAGATTTCCTGAGAACTACAACTGCTTCTCGTGTCTTACCATTTCGCGACGGACTCAACACTGGCGACGAAGGTGGGATTGCCTTACATCGGAAAAGAGAAGGTGTAAGCTTACCCGAGTGAGTCCGGAGCGGCAGGAACGGCGTTGACTCGGCAGCTACCCGCCAATCCAGCGTGCATTCGGGGGTAGGCTGGCTGATAGACCCTTCCTGATACAAAAATGGCAAAGATTGGAAGGCTTTCGGAATTCGATGTCTCACATCCAGAGAGGTGGGAGTCCTACGCAGCCAGGGTGGAAAACTACCTCAAAGTGAACCAGGTGAGGGAAGAGAGCTTGAAGGCTGCCACCCTGCTGTGCGTTTGCGGTCAAGACGCCTTCGAAATCACTGAGAACCTCGCAGCACCTGTTCCTTTAGAGTCTGTCAGCTACGCAGATCTAAAGAAGTTACTGAAGGAGCACTTCCAACCTAAGATGTCCGTCATCGCGTGGTGCCACACCTTCGAGCAGAGGGATCAATGACCCAGAGAATCAGTCAAGGAGTACATCACCGCACTGAGGAAAGCCGCCAGACATTGTTAGTTCAAGGACCTCGAAGAACGATTGAGGGACCGGTTCGTATGCGGGCTAAGGCATCGAGAGTTGCAACAGAGACTTTTCGCCAAGGAGGACTTGTCCTTCCAAGATGCCTTGAGAGAGGTCACCGCAGAAGAAGCAGCGGGCGGCGCCATCAAGAACATGCGGCCGATCAGGAACAGCCCAGATGCTGCATCCGTGCACCAGGAAGAAGTCCAAAGGAACTCCGAGGAGGATCCGGATGAGGAAGTGGACCGTCTCCACCCCACAAAGGAAGGAAAACCAAGAGGAAGCTCTTCAGCTCTTCCCAAGTGCATCGGTTGTGGAGGTCGCCACAAGAGAGCCGACTGCAAGTTCCGCTCCGCTATCTGCCGGGCGTGCGGAAAACAAGGACACATTGCAGCTGTGTGCCTGGGCTGCCAGAAGGTACAACCTCAGGAAGAATTGCGCCTGAAAGGTACCAGGGTCCCCAGCCAGAATAGGGTGGGGTTTTGCGCTTCACGAAGAAGCATCTACAGGACAGGCACACACAAGCCCATCAAGAAAAAGCTGTCGCTTAAGGTGAAGCTACAAGGGGTTTCATTAACTATGGAACTGGACACGGGGTCCGCACTATCGATCATTTCTATGCACACTTTTAGGAAGATTTGTTCTGGTAGTGGAACTCAGGCCAAGCTGAGGCCTTCTGATATTGTGTTAACAGACTTTCAAAACTCCAGAGTGTGTGTTAAGGGGGAGGCCACCCTTAACGTACAGTATAAGGATTTTGAAGGTCCACTAGACATATTAGTAGTAGGGGGTGAACGAACGAGTCTCATAGGACTCGATTGGTTTGAGGCCTTGGGAATACACGTCACAGGGCTCAACAGCCTACAAATGCTCGACCTACAGGAAGTCTGCAAAGAATTTGCAGATGTTTTCAGCCCCCAGCTGGGCACGTTCAAAGGAGCTCCTGTGTCCTTAAAGCTAGACCCCACTGTCACTCCCATTAGAATTAAAGCAAGAAGGGTCCCTTTTGCTTTAAAGAGTAATATTGACACTGAATTGGATAAACTGATCCAACAAGGAATTCTAGAACCAGTTGACTCCAGTCCATGGGAGACCCCCATTGTCATGCCTCTTAAGGCAAATGGGGACATTCGCATCTGTGCTGATTACAAATGCACTCTAAATAAGGCATTGCAGCAACATGCCTATCCTGTTCCTGTGGTCAGTCATATCCTGGCCTCCCTCAAGGGGGGGCGCTTTTTTGCAAAGCTTGACCTAGCTCAAGCATATCAACAGCTGCCTGTTGATGATGACGCTGCCATAGCTCAGACTATTGTGACCCACAGAGGGGCTTTCAAGTTAAAGAGACTTCAATTTGGAGTAAATGTCGCTCCTGGGATTTTCCAAAGCGTAACGGAAAACACACTACGGGGTATACCAGGGGTTTGCCCCTATTTTGATGATGTCTTAATTGCAGAAGACTCCACACACATTCTAGCTGAAAGGCTAAGGGCTGTCCTATTAAGGTTCAGGAAAACGGGACTCAAACTCAAGAAGGACAAATGTAAAATTGGGGTGCCTTCTACTGAGTTTCTGGGGTTCAAAATTGATGCTGCTGGGATTCATCCTGCTGAATCCAAACTAAAAGCCATTATGCAAGCCCCTAGACCAAAGTCTAAGGCCGAACTACAGGCTTTTCTGGGCCTTCTGAATTTCTACAATTCCTTTCTTCCACACAAGGCTAGTGTAGCTGAGCCTCTTCACAGGCTATTAGATAAACAGGCAGTGTGGCAGTGGTCACAAACACATGAGGCTCGTTTCAATGAGGTCAAGGCCTTGCTCACTTCTAACAGTGTACTTGCTCACTTCAATGAGTCCCTTCCTGTGTGCATCGCTTGTGATGCTTCCCCTTATGGGGTAGATGCTGTTCTGAGCCACCTCAGATCTGATGGAACTCAGGTTCCTGTTGCATATTACTCCAGAACATTGTCTTCTGCTGAGCGCAACTACGCTCAGATAGACAGGGAGGCCTTAGCTGTCGTTGCAGGAATTAAAAAATTCCATGATTTTTCACGGTCTTCACTGACCATAAGCCTTTGCTGGGACTGTTTACCACACGTAAACAGACTCCCCAAATCATCTCCCCCAGGATGCTCAGGTGGTCTATCTTTTTGTCTGCATATGATTTTTCCCTACTTCACAAGCCTGGGAAGGAAATGGGCCATGCTGATGGCCTCAGTAGATTACCCCTGCCGGTAATAGAGGCTGACCCCGCGCCAGCCATCAATATTCTCTCCATTCAAGCCTTGCCCGAGTCCCCTTTGAATGCCAGGGATGTAGCCGCTGAATCAGGCACAGATCACACACTTTCACATGTTCTTTCTTGGGTTTTGTCTGGATGGCCTGAGCACTGTCCTAGTCCTGAGTTTCAGAGTTTCTGGTCTAAAAGGAATGAGTTGTCCACCTCTCAGGGTTGTCTGCTTTGGGGAAACAGAGTTGTCATCCCCACCTCAATGAGGACTAGGGTCTTAGATTCCCTCCACGAGGGTCATCCTGGCATTGTTCGAATGAAGGCTCTTGCACGCAGCCACTTGTGGTGGCCTGGTGTAGACAAAGACATAGAAGCTAAGGTGCATGCTTGCCACCTTTGTCAACGCTCACACCCTGAAATGCCCCAAATGCCTCCTGTGCATAGATGGGAGGAAACACAGTCTCCATGGTCTATGGTGCACATTGACTACGCTGGGCCCTTTCAGGGTCAATTCTTCTTGGTCCTCGTTGACAGCCATTCCAAATGGCTTGAGGTTGTACCTGTCTCTTCCACCACCACTGCAAAGACTATTCAGGTACTGAGGGGGATTTTTGCTGCACACGGGCTCCCAGACGTCATTGTGTCTGACAACGGCCCTCAATTCACTTCCTCCGAATTCCAAGCTTTCTTGCAGGCTAACATGATTCGTCATGCCACTTCTGCACCTTTCCACCCATCCACCAACAGTATGCTGAACGCATGGTTCGCATCACCAAGGACGCCTTGAAGAAGCTCACCTACGGGGACTGGCATCACAGGTTGGCTGACTTCCTCCTTTCTTATCGCACTACACCGTCCACTTCTACAGGGAGAAGCCCAGCTGAACTTCATTGGGGGCGCAAACTGACTACCAAGCTTGACCGGTTGCATCCGGATAGACTGCCTCCTTCTGCCTCACACCCCAGGGCACCTAGGCAACTACTTGTGGGTGCCCCGGTTTGGACTCGTAACTACGGGCCTGGTCATACATGCGTCCCCGCATCTATATCCAGGGTCACAGGTCCTCTATCCTATGAGGTATCCCTGGACAACGGTCGTGTCCTGCATCGGCACATTGACCAACTTCGCCCTAGACGGGACCTTATTTATTTATTTATTTATTTATGAGACTTATATACCGCTTTAAGTGCAAGCACTCTCTAAGCGGTGTACACCAGTAAGCAATGTATATATATTTTACATTGCCCCCAACAATCTGGGTCCTCATTTTACCTACCTCGGAAGGATGGAAGGCTGAGTCAATCTTGAGCCGGTGAGATTTGAACCGCTGACCTGCTGAACACAGTCAGCTAAAGTGGCCTGCAGTACTGCACTCTAACTGCTGTGCCACCTCGGCTCTTCCCGCTGAGACCCCTGAGTCTTTTCCAGGGGGGAGGGGGAGCCCTTTGGGCAAAGGGAGGGGCATGGAATGATGCCCATCATCAATGGGGAAGCCACAATCAGCCCATCCCAAGATTCCACAATTGCTCCCAACAGGAAGTCATGGAGCCCAACTAGAACCCAGGCATCAATGCCTACTCCAGCCAGGGAGTCACCCCGGGGGCATGATCACTTCTCACCCGCATCACTCAGTACTCCAGTCAGAGAGAATCCCCGGGAGCATCCCAACAATCCATTCCCTGCAAGAGAGCTGGCACACACTCCTCCTAGTTGGCCTGACTTAAACCCTGTCCCTAGAAGGGGGCAAACATACAGGGGGGTGGTCGAGGAACCAAATCCCGACTACAACACCTGTGACTACACTCAGGGGACAACTGAGTTTTGGGACAGTACTGAACCCCACACAAGCCCGGACACAGAATGGGATTCAGGGGATAGACAGCCTCCTGACAGGTCTTGGATGGACCTAGGAAGTTCTACAGAAATGCCCAACAGTGACAGTCATTTAGAAGGGCCAGAGAGCCTACAGCTAGGCAGGACAACCAGGTCATACACTGGAAGAAGCCCTGGCCTGACGAGCCCAGTGGGCAAGCAAGAAGCCAGGCATTGGAGCACAGTCCTTGGGAGTCACCAAGGCTTAACAAGGGGAACAGGCACACATCACCCCTCAGTCAAGGGGTACCTGTCAGACACCCAGAGCTTAGGAGGTCACAGAGAGCGAGGAAATCTCCTAAGTACTTAGAGGATTACATAACACTATTGGCTAAACAGAGCCAGTAGAAGGGTAGAAACACTAAGGCAATGGAAACGGGGGGAACTCCGAACATTGGGGGAGCAGAGCATTGTACTAAGAGTGGGTTGTGTATTATTATGGCATTGGTTGTAGTTTTAGCCCGTGGGAAAGGGGTGTTATGTCCTGAGCCTTGCAAGCAGGCTCGGGGCATTGCAGGCGGTCCCGGGCAGGTGCAAGCTGCCCGGGACCAGACAGGCTGTCGCCAGTACGTATGCGCATGCGGGGGTGCTGGCGTGCCAAAAGTAGCAGATTGACCCGGGAAAGGCCTATAAAAGGAGGCCGAGAGAGTTGGGCATTGCCGCCATATTCCAATGTAAACTGAACTGAAGAATAAAGGTTTCCTGAGAACTACAACTGCTTCTCGTGTCTTACCATTTCGCAACGGACTCAACATCCATCAACCTCACTAGGTAGAACTTTTCTAACACTAACAAGACAGACATAAACCACATAGAGAAATACATTTGCATGAACAAAGAAATACTTCCCAAGGACAATTTTAATCGCTACCGGTCCATGCAGACACAAACTAGATGGAATTAAATGAACATTTTTTTTCAAAAGCCAAATCATAATCTCAATAACTTGAATGGTATAAGGACAGGGCCGCACACCTTGGGAAACTACTAGCTAGTCCAGAAACCATCCCTGTACCATTACTCCATCTGGTTTCTGTAAATAAATCTAATTTCTGGCATCTTTTTTTATTCTGTATCATTTCTTCCGCCTGAGCTGAAGGTCTGCTTCCCAGCTGGAGACCCGAATCACGGGAAATCTTCCCACAATTCATAAAACAAATGTCATTAGATATTGTCTCATTCTGGAGGACTGATAATTATTATTTTTTAAAAAAATATTTTTGTATTAATTCAATGAAAAGTTCTCAAGAAAATTTCACGTCTCTGTGGGCTACAGTCTTCACAGTGAGCCTGATATATATATGTAGGTCTTTGGTTATTCGGGTCTTCTCCTGCGTAAAATTGGAAGTTTCTTGGCAACGTTTTGATGAAGTCCCATTTGTCATCTTCAGGACTTTGTCGAAACGTCGCCAAGACATTTCCAATTTTACATGGGAGAAAATCTGAATAACTGAAGACCTACATACAAACACCTGCAAAAATCTCAGAAAACAAATATATATATAATGGTGGATTATTGGTTTTGGTCGCCAGAGAAACTGTCTAGGTCTTTCAAATCTTGGTGGGAAATAAAAACAAAATGAAGGAATCGTATTATCTTATTTAGTGGACATATAAAACAGTTTTGGAGACCGGATATTTTTATTTTATTCTATTTCTATAATAATTCCTTGAAACATGCTCAAGAAAATTGTAGGAGTACTCAATGTGTAACTGAGAAATTTTATTAAAAGATTTTGCATTTAAGCCATCAGAAAAAACTTATCTAGGTATTTCAAACCTTGGACTGGAAGCGGAAACAAAGTGAAAGGGTCATATTATCATATTTAGTTATCATATAAAACAGTTAAAAAAACTACAGATACTAATACATTTTGTGTATTTTTCAGGTTTTTCTTTTATTTAATACACAATAAATTTGCCCTTCCACCTGTTAATTCACAGAAATATAAATGGCTCCCAATCCTTTTCTTAGGGGTGCAATGTTAATTACAAAATACACATGCAAGTGATGTTCACAGAAGTGTGTTTGTCAAGGGCTCTTTTATCCCAACAGATATGTAAATCGAGGCACCATTTCCCCTTTAAAGGAGCCCCATGGTTTCCCTCTTCAGAAAACACCCAGGAACATAAACCTTTTGCTATTTTCTCTCTTGGCCCTTGTCAATTCCCTCCATTCATCTAGTGAAAATGTGGCTCAATCTTGTGTCCTTACTAGTAGTCCTCAAAGTAATTATTTCCCCATATACAGTTTATTTCCATGTTCTGCTCCTCTAAGCGGGAGATCTCATTTAAAAAAAAATATTTTCTTTTTAGGAGTCCATTCTCAAGTCCAATCTCAGTTGGTGGAGTCTGGAGGGGATGTGAGAAGACCTGGAGGGTCCCTCCGTCTCTCCTGCCAAGCCTCTGGATTTGATTTCAGCAGCTATGGCATGAGCTGGGTGAGACAGGCTCCTGGAAAAGGCCTGGAATGGGTGGCATACATAAGCTACACTTCTGGTACTATTTACTACTCAGACAAAGTGAAGGGCCACTTCACCATCTCCAGGGACAATGCCAAAAACCAGATGTATCTGCAAATGAACAGCCTCAAAGCTGAAGACACGGCAGTCTATTACTGTACGAGACACACAGTGAGAGGAAATGAATCTGGAGCTTAGCAAAAACCTTCCTTTCTTCAGAGCAGCTCTTCAATTTGACTAGATTAGTCAATGAGGATTGATCTCTGTCTAGAGAGAACTTCAGAATTTTTTATTCTGGCTATCAGAGAGTTTGCTGTAAGAAAATATAGGATGATGAAAATGGCTTGAAAATCTGTTTCATCTTTCCTGTTTACAAGGTGATTTATGTTCTGGAAAAAAGATGTAATGGAATATTGTTCTTTAATATCATGGCAGAAGCCTGGAAATGAAAGGATACAGTAGGTAGATAAAAATGCCAAATTAAGTTTAAGCATCTGGCTCGTCATGTGAAGAACCATAATAACAAAGCATGCCTGCTTTGATTGTATGTGTATGTCTGTCTATCTGTGTCCCTTTGTCCATATATAATGCAATTTAAAAAGCATGCTTCTGGTGTGTAAATAAATGTATAACTGAATGTCTTGAGGGGCTCTTTTATCCAAAGTGATATGTAAATCAGGACACAAACTCCCCATTAAAGAAGCTTGCAGGTTGCCCCTTTCAGGCCACACCCATTGACACAAAGCTTGTGCACTTTCTTGAATGCTTTCCTATCAAAAAATGACTCTGTGGCCAAAGTTGGTGTTCTTACTACTCCTTGGAGGTGAGGCTTCCCTCTCTACAGCATTTCCTTCCAATTCCTATTGTTGTGTGCAGGAGATGTCAATGAAACATCTTTCTTCCTAGGTGTCCAGTCACAGGTCCAGTTGGTGGAGTCTGGAGGGGATGTGAGAAGCCCTGGAGGGTCCCTCCGCCTCTCCTGCCAAGCCTCTGGATTCACCTTCAGCAGCTATTATATGGAATGGGTGAGACAGGCCCCAGGGAAAGGATTGGAATGGGTTTCAGAGATACATCCAAGTTCATCTAGCATTTACGACTCAGACAAAGTGAGGGGACGCTTCACCACCTCCAGAGACAATGCCAAAAGCCAGCTGTATCTGCAGATGAACAGCCTCAAAGCTGAAGACACGGCTGTCTATTACTGTGCTAGAGACACAGTGAGGGGAAGTGAATCTGAAGCCAGACAAAAACCTTCCTTTCCTCAGAGCCGCTCAGCAACTTGATTCAATTGTGGATCCTGGTTTAGTCAATAAGGATGGATCACCATCCATTGAGAATTTTAGGAATCTTTTGTTCTAGGAATCCAGTTAGAGACTTTACCCACCAAAACTGAAAAATGATAAAAATGGCTTGAAAATTCCAGTTTCAGCTTCCTTGTTTACCAGGTGAGGGTAAACCTAATGTGGATTTTGTAATTTGTTAACTAACACAGTTATTTATTTTGTAATTTGTTAACTAACACAGTTACTTTGCATTTTCATTTGATTTATTTTCGCTTTTTTTAAAATGATGTTCAGGTTTATTAGCTTTTAACATCCCTAAATTGATAAATAGGCTTGAGATTATCTCCAGATAAGAAAAAAAAAGTTTGTTACTACAAATTGAGGTCTGTTTTTTTTTCTCTTTTGTGAACTCCAAGCAATCTTTTGCCTTGCAATGTATGCCCCTTCTGACATCAGACTTCATTTTAATGAACATGTGTGATAGTATAGGTTGCAAATATGTAACAGGTTTGACTACATGTAACTGATTCCCTATGTAAAGGGGAGATTACTTTTATCCTGCCCCATCAACTTTCCTCCTGCATTTTCTTTGTTGTGTTAACTCTAACAGGGAATATAAGATGGGTCTTGGGGTTCTCTCTATCCTTTTTCAGAGAGAGAGAGAGAGAAAGAGAGAGAGAGAGAGATCCCATTTTATCAAGATATCCTAAAAAACTACTTTTAAATGATCTTCCAACTCGGTTGCTTATTGGGAAGGTAAATTGAGGCAGAACTTAGGGCCAGATTTGGCTATCACCGATGATCTGGCTTCAGAAACATGAGATAAATTTTTACCAATGGTTAGGAAAACAAACTAGTGAGAAATGAACGTGATCTGTTATTTTGAATATATATTAGTAAGAAGAACGATATGTATTGACGATCTGATACTGTTTATGATTATTGTTTTATCATATTCACTACAGCTATTTACTATTATATTAATTAGTGTTAACTGAACATATGTACCCAAATAATAGTCTGTTTGCTAAAACTTGAAAATGTTACTGGGGGGCAACCCCAATGTTGTTCCCAATCCTGTCCCAACCCCAATCCTAATCCCACCCCAAACCTTAATCCCTATCCTGGTCCCTTCCCCAACCTTATAAAACTCAATAAAAACCTTTATATAAAAAAGAAGAAGTCTGGAATGGAATATTCTTTTTTTTAGTACTGTGACATAAGGTAGGAAATGAAATATTAAGATGACCTTTCTAAATATCCAAACTGCCATGCAGATATTGAAGAAGCATCTTTGCCAAAATAACTCCTCAGATAATTGATAAGATGTTTCTTCTCTTCACTTTTGACACTGGAGGGCAATCTTGTCACACCAAACCCCATGGCCTATGTACCCAGCCACAGTGGGAAAGGGAATAAAGCAAGGATCATTAGATATTGTTTCATTTTGGAGAAATGTTTTTTTTATTATTATTATTTTGCAATATTTCTGTAATAGTTCAAGAAAATTTTGAATCTCAGGAGTCTTCAGTCTTGACCATGAAGCTGAGAGTTTTTATAAAATGATGAACCTGGTTTGTCACCAGAGAAACTGTCTGGAATAATAATAATAATAATAATGATGATGATGATGATGATGGAAGGGACCTCGGAGGCTATCTAGTCCAACCCTCTGCTCAGGCAGGAAACCCTACACCATTTCAGACAAATGGCTGTCCAGTCTCTTCTTAAAAACTTCCGGTGTTGGAGCATTCACAGCTTCTGGAGGCAGGTTGTTCCACTGGTTAATTGTTCTAGTTGTCAGGAAGTTTCTCCTTAGTCCTAGGTTGCTTCTCTCCTTGATTAATTTCCATCTGTTGCTTCCTGTCCTGACTTCAGGCACCTTGGAAAATAGCTTGACTCCCTCTTCTTTGTGGCAGCCCCTGAGATATTGGAAGACTGCTATCATGTCCCCCCTCGTCCTTCTCCTCATTAAACTAGACATACCCAATTCCATCAACCTTTCCTTATATGCTTTAGCATCCAGTCCCCTAATCATCTTTGTTGTTCTTCTCTGTACTTTTTCTAGAGTCTCAACATCTTTTTTACATTGTGGTGACCAAAACTGGATGCAGTATTCCAAGTGTGGCCTTACCAAGGCATTGTAAAGTAGTATTAATACTTCATGAGATCTTGATTCTATCCCTCTGTTAATGAAGCCCACCACTGTGTTGGCCTTTTTGGCAGCTGCAGCACACTGCTGGCTCATATTTAAGTGCATAAATGTATAAATGTTCTTCAAATCTTTGATTAAAATGCAAAGAAAATGAAAGGATTTTTTTCACACGGAGGGATTACTATGGGTATTATTACTATTATTTCAATTTTTATGGCTGCCCATATTGGTGACTTAACCCTGAGCAACTCACAAATGATCAAAACACCACACAAAGTAGCAAAATATGGAATTGCCAGCTGCCCAGAGTCATTGATTGAGATGAGAGGCTATAGATACTTAATTAATAAATAAAAACTATTAACCAAAATAAAAATGATCTTGGTCTGCATTTAGTTCATTTGAGTTTTTTTCAAAAGAGCCAATGAAAGGAGAAAAAAAGTTACAACATCTTTCTTGAACTCAGATGTGCTGTTCTTTTCCTGTTGTATCTCTAACATGTACAGTAGTGGCCAAAATTGTGGAAACATTTTGGGAAAAGTGTACAGTAGAAATGCCACCTTTGGTTAAGTTTCCACCATTTTTTCTTCTAATTTCTTTATAACTGTAGCCTTGTTCACTTAATAATACTATTTTACATCACTTTCTGGGAAACCAGTCAACTCTTTGCACCATTTCTTTAATTTTATTACGTTTTGCAAGCTCACTAAATGAAAGAACACAAAAAAACCCCACCAACTTGATAGCGATCACATAACACACTGAAAAATGTCCTCCTCTCAGCTTCAATACAGGACACCGATAACTGAATCCTACTGTGATCTGATTTGTTCTCAGCTTTGTTCATTTGTTCTCAGCTTCTCTTCCACCCCTGGAACATAAGAATGCCTTTGAGAATTAGATGTCTCCATATAGTTTTCATCACTAGCACCAGGATACCAGGAGGTACCCTTTTCACATTCAGTCAGGATGGACATGTGGGAAGAGGAGGGCAGGAAAATAAAATCAGCATGCACAAATGTGGCCTCATTTCCAAGGCTGATTATAGCTTCAGCTACTTCCTTAACAGCTTCTCCAATGTGTTTCAAGAGAATGATAATATCACTCTGAAACCATGTCTCAATTTACAAATACAAATTCCTAAATCTGGAAGAAATTGAATTTCTTGGAAAATGCATATGGATTTTACCAGTTGATTTGGCTTCACTGGAATGGAATGGAATCCTCTAAGTACCATGGCAGGATGGAGGATGGAAACGAAGTACCATGGCAGGATGCAGGATGGAGGATGGAAACGAAACCTTAGGATAACTTTTCCAAGTTTCCAAACTGCCAAGCAGTTGGGGAAATATCTCCTCAGAAAGAATCTCCTTGGAAAATTAGGAAAATGTGTCCTCTCCTCACTTTTGATCCTGGAGGACACAGTTGTCACAGAAAATCCAACTGCCTATGCACCCAGATGAGGTGTGTTAAGGAATAAAATGTATAATTATATGTTGTCTAATTCTGGAAGCATAACATTTTTTATTATTATTTCCATCATAGTTCATTGAAAAAGTTTCAAGAAAACTTCACATCTATAATGCTCACTGAGAAGTTGAGAATCTTTATAAAACGATGAATCATTGACATTTGTCACCATACAAATATATATACACCAATCCAGAAGATTGTAAAGTTTGCCTCAATGGGTTACAAAAGAATTTAACTTCTTAAGAGATTATAATCCTGACTGGAAAGCCATGAGTTTAGAATAGAAAACAGAGCATACTGAAGCTTATTTTATTTATTTTATTTTATTTTTAAAATTTATAAACTGCCCCACTCCTGTAGGACTCTGGGCAGCTAACAATAAAAACACCATAAAACATGACAAAACAAACAGTACAATAACAGTCATCCAGGGATCAGATTTTATAAACCCCAGGCCTGCCGGAAAAGCCAGGTCTTAAGCAGCTTACGGAAAACCAACAGAGTGGGAGCGGTCCTAATCTCCAGGGGGGGAGCTGGTTCCAAGACATGGGCGCCATCACAGAGAAAACCCTCCTCCGCGGCCCCACCAAATGGCACTGCTTGGCCGATGGGACCTGAAGGAGGCCCAGCCTGTGGGATCTAACCGGACGAAGGGAACTATGAGCTTACCTGCAATTTAATGTATTTGGAGTTTTCTGTAAAATATAAGAAAAGTAATCTTGTAGCAAACTTGAGATGTGCTAGCCTTCCGAAATCCTCTCTAATAATTAAGTTTATTCTCTATTACCTTGCATCATTTTGAGAAGTGTTAATTTTTTTCAAGCCTTTGTTTTACTTAATCTACAATAAACTGGTCCTTTCTCCTATTAACATAGGAAAAAAAAAATGGGTCCTGACACTTTTCTTAGGACTGGAATGTAAATTGCAAAATGCACATGCAATTATGTTCACCAAAATGAATCAGTCAATGGCTCTTTTATGCCAACAGATATGTAAATCAAGACACAACTTCCTCTTTAAAGAAGCCCCATGGTTTCCCTTTTCAGACAACTCCCACCAACATAAACCTTGTACCATTTCCAGAATCCTCTCTATCAATTTTGTCTATTTGTTACAGGGAGCAAAAATGTGGTTAAATCTTCTGTCCATACTTGTGGTCCTCAAAGGTAATTATTGCCACTACATAGTTTATTTCTATGTTCTGCTCTGGAAAGCAGGAGATCTATTTTTTTTTTAAACAAAAAAAAAAAACAACTCTCCTTTCTTTTTAGGAGTCAAATCTCAAATACAGTTGGTGGAGTCTGGAGGGGATGTGAGAAGCCCTGGAGGGTCCCTCCGTCTCTCCTGCCAAGCCTCTGGATTCACCTTCAGGAGCTTTGACGTGGGCTGGCTGAGACAGGCTCCAGGGAAAGGACTGGAATGGGTGGCATCCATAGACACTAGTTCTGGTACTTACTACTCAAA